CAGTGAGACAATAAGGCTCTGCGGTTATAGCTGAACCAGGTTGGACCCTTCTGATTGGCACTTACCGGCGGGCCTTGAGGTTCCGGGTCAGAGTTTAAATCAGATCAGAGGCGACAACAAACAACGCTGTTCGCAGGCATGGAAAAACCTTATAGATCCCAGTCCTTCAGTGGGGTAGAGAATAGTAATGGAGACGAAAGAGGCGAGAAACTGAAGCAAGACGACGATCAAAGTCGTTCGATTATGGTCATACAGACTGGAGGTAAGGGCGATGCGATGAAATAGATAAATACCCCGCCATCGTTCACATACTTTCATGTAACTATCAAGTATGAAGGTAGAAGTCTTTTCCACTCCTTTTTCCATGATTTTATGAAACGTTACTAAGTTTTTGAAGTGCTAGAATACCATAGAGAAGCATTAGCAACGAAGAAAACAAGAAAACCTTGTTAACTTTCGTACTTGGCAAACCGTCTGTCTGATAATTAAGCCTCACACCTGGATACCGCAAATTTATAGCACCTGAGATGATCTGACCACGCCCCTTTTGGATTGGTTATTCTTCTTTGTAAAGAATAAGTGTTATTTGTGACTGCTTAAGGACTTGGTCATTGAATAAAAGCATGTTTTCGGTTTGGGTTGCCAACTACATAATAGAAATATAATAGAAATATAGTATGATATGATATGATATGATATGATATGATATGATATGATATACAAATTTACTAAAACCTATATCTGCCATGTAACATGATTGCTCGCTTTTCTTCAGGTACCATTGACAAGGACTACCCCCGCAGTGTAGGTGGTTATGCCTTTGAGATTGGGTCCTCGGCAGCACAGAGTATCCTGGATAGGATGAACTTGGCCATGCCTGTGGAGTACGGCAGTGTGTTCAGGAAGGACTCCCAGGAGATCAATGACTGGGACAGGTAAGAGATCAATGTCGCTAAACAGTATGGTAACAGTATAAGTAGTGATTGGTTTATTGAAAAGAGCAAAGAACATATCAGACTTGCAGTAAAAACTGAATTGTGCTGATATTTACAACTTGTGGGATTATACAATACTAGTAGATATAAAAGGGCAACTTACACTTGTGATATACAAAATTTATAAAAACCGTTGTTGTCATATTATTATAGCAATATAATTAAAACAATATAATTTCTCACGAATATAAAATCACTACTGTCGTTCTACATTAAAATGGCTGAAAGTCTTTGAAGTTTAAAAGATAGTCTGGTACGAGCGCTAAGGATATGTACAATTGGCGGTAAGTGAGTCAAATGAGTCTTGCAACAGTATGGCAATGAAAATGAACTATTAAATATAGTTAACATCTGTGTCCATAATATCACCATAGTCCTTAATATCGCCACCTTGAGAAAAAGTGCAATATACCCTAGGTATGTACATTTGAGGTATGCAGGGGTGCATACCAAAAGTATGTTGCAGTAAAAATATCTTAAAGCACACTATTTCTCAAGGTGGCGATATTATGGGACCCCTGGTGATATTATGGACACGGATGTTACCTGTAGCAAGTGCTTTGTGAGAAGGTTGTAAGGATAAGGCCTAGGAAAAAATAGTGTTCCCTGACCAACCCCCAAAATAACTGCCAACCCTAGCCTTTTTTTGGTGAGAACCCCTGGAAGGGAAATAGATTTTGCATGCTGATCGCCCTTTTCTAGCTCCATGATCCGACACCTGAGTGATGAAATGTTTTTTGGTTTTCCAACATTGACATTGATGATATAAGTGTCCTCATGCAAGTTTTACTTTGTTAAACTGTGTTGTATTACATGTATAAGTGTATTATAAGTTTACATCATTGTCTCTTTTCTTTACTGTCCAGGGAACTACTTTCTCAGGTGTGTCAAGCCTCTACTCAGTCTCGTATCCTCATCACACATGGTACAGACTCCATGATCGACACAGCTGCCTACCTCGCCAAGAAACGCTTACCCAAGACCATCATTCTCACCGGGGCATTCAGGCCAGAGAAGTTCAAGGACTCAGATGCAGACTTCAACGTCGGGGTGGCCATTGGGGCCTTGCAGACCATCCATATTAACGACGTGTTCATTGCAATGAATGGCAGGGTATACTGGTGGAACGAAGTCACTAGAAACCAAGAAACTGGGCAGTTTATATGCAAACTGAAGTAACAATCCACCTTTTTTATATTGAAATATGGTGATTTATAATGTTCCCAGGTGGCTGTTGCTGTATATATTTTGAAGTCCACGTGGTCAGTGACCTTGCAATGTGTTGATGTCATTTAAAGAAGTTCTGCAATATGATTGTCTGAGTGTACCAACAGAATTTCTTCACCTTCACGCTGTTCACATGCGTGTTAGCTGTCACAGTTGTAGTCTATATATAGCTTCTGATAATAGTGTGCTATGGTAATTATGTGTGAAATCTGCTTGATACTTTTCCTACCTAACAAGCTTGAAGGTGCTCGTCAGGATAATTGGGACCAGGTACTATGTTTTAACTCAGGATACATCTTTACAGTATTCTTCAAACCTTTTCAATGAGGTGCAATTTTACAATGTGAAGTCATCCTTAATGGCAGTATATTACTATATATTTGGTAAATGACATTTTTCATTGGAAAAATTATATTTTTGTAAGTTGCTGTTCAACTGTTTCTTTTGTTGGTACAGTTGCAATTTTTGTACCTTTTTACATGGGTTGCCAGACATATGGTAATTACATTTCTTTTATTTCAGCAGTACTTTTGTACTCCAGTATTAAATGGAGAATTAGACAGATTATGTTCTGTACATTGTATATGCAATGGGGAAAATGATCACTGGGTGGTTCAGGTTAGCAGGTAGAAAAATCCAACGTGCCTTAACTTTCTTAATAATCAATATTTCCTAGTATGTGTCTGACTCAGTAATTATTAACTTTGCTCCCAGCATGTATATTTAAGTTTTGTTTCTACGAAATAGAGCTATATAGCTATATGTAAATGTTTTTTCAGTGTTATGGAGGAGAATATATATATATATTACACCATTAGCATCCAAACAGTCTATAAAAATTCATGGTGTGTTGTGATAAGTAATTTGACAAGATTACAGCCATCATACCAGAAAACACCACAGACAGACATGTTACTGGATGTGATAAAGTTTATTGTGAATTCTTATACATAAGTATTAAAAGCTAGTGTCGTGTTTTATTCTACTTCATTATATATATATTTGAATAACTTCCATGTTGTTAGGCATTGTAAATTCTTTCTTAGGCCATGTTGATTTGATTATATGGATGACATCCACGCGCGCATGAATTTTTGGCCGTTTCCCAAAAAAAAGTTAACCGTACTGTAAATCTACAAAACAGTTGCAAAATGAGCAAATATATAGAAAAATGAAAAAAAATATTGGGAAATGATATCAATGTCGTAGAATGCCAAAATCAAATGAAAAAGACGACAGTGTAAAGAAATGAATTTGAAGAGTAGATTATTCTCTCATACCATACTCTGTGTCATTTGCTCAACCTTCATGACCATGTGGATATCATAATGAAAGCAACTTTTTTTTGTCAAACTTTTTTTTTATTTGCACGCTCGCATCAGTTTTGGGGTTCCCAGAGGATGTCATCCATATAATCAAATCAACATGGCCTTATCTAGTATCTTGTTTATCTTATCACAAACAAAAACGGTGATGTCATTGTTCAGTTATTCAGATAACAGTATAATGGTAATGTTGCATTTCTTGAAATCATAATACATTTCTCAACAAGACTTGCAAATTTGAGAAACTTAACATTCAAACTTTTTGAAAACATTCTCTTTGCAAAAATTATGATCGTGCAGCCCAGGAACCTTAAAATTGACAGAATCAGCCGGGAAAATAGTAGCTTTGATCTGGTATAAATATTAAGAATAAAAATAAAAAGTTTAAAAATCTACAATGCCCAAGTACATGGCTTAGTTTCTGTCTTTTACGTCTAACACATATATTGTAGAAGTATACTCCTATTGCACATATCAGTGTCATAAAAATATTTGTATCTTTGTCTAATTTTGTTCTCTTAGTTTACAGGATTGGTGCATGTACTAATAAAATCTCGATATATCACAGTCTATAGTCAAGTTTTGTATTTTCAGAGTCGTTATTAGGATCATTTACAGTACAGATCAGATTGGTAAGGTGCACTTATAATTTTGTCTTAAAAAATAAATTACGATTATTCAGTCAACACAACAAGAAAAGGCAAAAAACAGCAAACAACAAATAAGCCCTTCACATAACAGAAAACAACCCTTAACCACACTAACAGTACATAAAAACAGATGCATTCAATATCATAAAATATATTCTTCCAGCAAACAAAAATAAGACATGCAGGTTCTTTGACCATTTAAAAGTTAACAAAATGCCTAATTTGGAACCAATACATATACACTGTACATCTTTCAAAAGGCCATCTCCAGTTTGACAGGCTGACATAAATGTTATGATATAATGTTACCTGTTACACTGATTACAATTTTAAATCCAGATATTGGTCTTTGTAGAACAATTGCAGAGTCATGATTCCCATCAGCCCTCGTAACAGTAACTGTTTTGATAATCGTAAGTCTTCATAATGTTATTATTATAAAAGACTGTAGCTCAATAAATTGAAAAACCTTTCTACTGTAATAGATTTGAAATTTAATGTATTCCTACTTTACTAATTTAAAGAAGGTTTAGAACTACATTTTTAAGTCAGCTCCATCGTTACACATTAGAATTGCATGGTTCTTTGCACTATTCCCCCCCATCCTACCATTTACTTATATATTTATTACAAAGTAGACAACTTGTGCACATCGATCAATCATCATCGTAACGTGTCACCAGAAGTGGTTTGTGCAACAATGTCATCAAAACAGAGTGTAGCTATATCAAGTGCAACTTGGAGTGAAGATTCTTAGAGTTAAAATTCTGGCAATCAAGTTTCCACATAGCCTGGTGTCCAGTCTATCGTGGTTAGGGCAGGTTCTCTTCGGGGCTACAAGAGCTCTTCCCCGCCTGACTCAGCTAGGCTCCCTGGTAGGTTTTGCATGACAGGAGTTAAAATCAGCCCCATCACGATCAGCTTGTGAGGAGATGAGCAGGTATGGCCTTACTGGTGGACTTGAGGGAGGCTCTGCTGGGGGATCTGTTGACATGCTTCTGGGAGAACAGTTCCTCGCTGTCCTGCAGTATGAAGTCATGGATGAGTTGGTTGACCTTGTCCGGACATTCCATCATCACCATGTGACTCACGTCTTCTATCACATCCAGATGACAGTAAGGTAGGGCCTGGACAGAGATACATGAGGGGTTACATCATTACAGCCATCATCATGTTGGCTTGTATACACCATAACTGCGGTGGTTCAAATAGTATTTTATTAAGACTTTGTAAAAGTGGTTTTCTTACCATGTTCATATAGCAACTAAAGAGTTCTGGGAACACATGCCTTTGCCAAGTAAAAGTGTTTATTATGAAAAGCACACTTTCTTGTATCAAATGTATCAAAATATTGATGATGTCCTTAAGCAAAGAAAACATAACCTAATTTTGTAAAAAGGGCAATTATAGATGTGTACATTTTAATCCTATCATATAACAGGTGCCTTGAACTACTGTAACAATAAGTTGATAAAGACAACATGCCCGGGGCCTGACCTCTTCCATCCCGTATTCATCCTGCAGGGGTACCAAGCCGTCCTGTCTCCCGTGGATCAGCAACGTGGGGACCTCGATCTCTGTATGGTAACCCTCATCACCCTCATGCCAAACCTGGGATAGACAGTAGAAATTAGCTCACTACAAACTTGGTCAAGTAATATTATATCAAAATGCATGACATCTTCACCAGTATCAAAACAAGTTAGAGTATTTATGGCATATGGGTCTTCCTATTTTCTTGTGTCAGGATGTCTTCCTTGTGGTGGGATTTTCCTAAAGTTGCAATTTTTTAATGAAAGTACATTGTGTTCACATATACATATACAGGCTTAAGCATTGTGGACCTGTAACAAAATCACTTTATAGGTACCGTACAGGTACTGTTACACAAGTACTGTTGGTCGATGTTTTTTATATATATATATAATATATATATGTACAGTTCCTTAGACTGGAGACTATCTTCAAGCCAAGAAATACATGTAATGTAATAAAATGTTAATTCTGTATATTTTACCTGTCCCACCATTGTTCCCCTCAGCACATGAGCAGGCACATTGAATGACTTGTGCATGTTTTCTACAGTGGAGAGCTGAGCTCGTGTGCTGAAGGCTCTCCTACAACATAGACATATACAAGCATAAGATAGATCATTGTTTTAGACAACAGTATACATTGTATTGCTTTGTCTGGCTATACCTAACAACACAAAAAGTTTGGAAACTTGACTTAAATTAATCACATCTTGTTGTTAATGTATTTTTTCAAAGGTTATTTATCACCCTTTACAATAATACCCCATTTGTTATGACCATACATTTAAGTATCTGATACCAGCTCAGAAAAGAACAGGAAATAGTATACTAAAATGTCTTCTTCCCTTAGCCGTCAGTTCTAGTACCAGTCGGAGTTATCAACCCAAGATTGAGGTGTTCCAAAAATTGTTTTTTCTTAGAACTATCATAGATCTAGAGTTTGACTTCAAACATTTCAAGTTGAAAGTGTGTAAATTGGAAGAATAAGACAACACCTGAGGAAACACTTGACCAGCATGGGGCTGATACAGTCCAGCAGACACACAGGGAGACAGAAGATGTGACAAGGCTGAGGTTCCAGGGGGGAAGGTGCACCGCCGCTCACCATGACCAGTCTGCTCATCTGCAGCCCCTGCTCATGGGCCAGTAGGGTACAGAACGTGCACCTGGGAAAGGTCATTGTCCTGGGGTCAGTCTGATGTCTTCAATAGAACAATAATGAACAATAGAACAATGCAACACCATACCAAATTGACCTCCTTGATTTTCAGTGTCTCTCAAAAATATTTGAAAGCCCTAATGTCTTCCTAATTATTACCGACAGTTCTTTTTTTACCAATGTTCAAAAATACTTGGTTTGAAATGTTGCTAGCATTTTGGTATGTCAAAGGATGATCTTAAGATTTATTTTACCTGATTGCCACTGTCCTAATTCATTAATTTCCTGCCCAAAATCTGAGAACAAAAAACTTATAATGTTATTAGCCGAGGCATAAAATGTAATATCTTTCATTACTAACAAAACACTTCTGCAAATGATTAGGTAAAAATAACGTACAGAACTCATTTTTTTATGTCCAAGCCTGTTTTTCATCTCATCTTAAAATACTAGAACACAGGATGAATGATCTTCATTAATTATTCAATATAATTGATTTCTGCATCTACAATAAATAGAGTCAAATAGCATCATGGGCATTTCAAAATCTGTTACCAGTACTTAAGTCCTGTCAATTTTACTGTGTTGGATTGACTCAATAACGTAATAATATTAAAAAATACACTTATATAATTGCAGTCAGCAAAGTAATCAGCTTTGAGTGCTGCCCTTACAATATTGACTTTCGTACTTGCTCCCTATAGGAATCGAAATACCCATCTGCAATCCTAATATAAACAGAGCAGGTTAGAACAGAAGCTACTTGCAATTTTGCACTTGCAGGCTTCAAGCTTCAAGCTTGACAGTATTATGAAGCACAATGTAGCCATGTAGCACCTGCATCATGCATGTAGTATACTTTTCTAGCAGCTACAGTTACATCACAGTGCATGGCAAGCATACAAAAATTTAGCTACCAGTGATCAAAGATCTTGTGTCCATAATACAATTTGAAAGTTGCTGCTGTCTGACATTATAATTGTGATGATTTGTTCAATCAGAAGGCCCACATCAAGGCACATATTGATTGGAAGTCTAGCCATACTGCAGAATTTATATTTGACTTATTTTGACATAATTTATAATGAAACAAAACATCTGCCACTTCTTTTTCACTGGTCAATCAATTATGCACAACAGCCAACTTGGGGGGGGGGGGGGTACTGTAGGTAGAGTACACAAAAGTTGCCCTGGACAATTAATCCACAAGCAGATCTTCCCATGCCCATTGGACCCACTCTTGATG